CCCACCTTACAAAAAGAAAATCGGATCATTTACCGATTTTATTGTGCGTCAAAGAAGCTTTAAATACCCCAAAGAAGAGGAAAAAGAAGAAGTTATATAGATTTGAGGAATTGTGGTTGCGGGATGAGAATTGTAGCTCTATCATCTCAGAGGCGTGGGAGAGAGGAGGGGATTTATGCTCAAAAATCGCTTTCACTTCGTCAAAATTGAGCTCTTGGAGTAAGGAAAAATTTAGAGACTTTATGAAAGAGTTGCAAGATTGTAAGGGGCAAATGGAGAAGCTTATGGGAGAGTGCCAAACGGAGGAGGTATCGCTCAAATGAGAGCCATCGATGATCGTTGGATGAGTTAGAAAGGAGGGAGGAGATGTATTGAAAGCAGCGAAGTAGGCAAGATTGGCTCAAACATGGGGACAAAAATACTACCTTTTTCCACACTAAGACGAAACAGAGAGCAAGCCGAAATAATATAAAAAAAATTCATGATGCTGCTGGGAACGAGTTTGTGGATGAAGATCAGATTACCGAAGTGCTAGTGAATTATTTTGAGACCCTCTTTGCTGGAAATAGTGATATCGAGCCGGACCCTGTCATTGAGAAGGTGGAACCAGTGGTTAGTGAGCGACAACATAGTAGTCTGGCGGCCCCCTTTTGTGCCGAGGAAGTGAAGAATGCATTGTTCCAAATGCATCCGACGAAGGCCCCTGGCCCCGGTGGTATGTCTGCTATTTTTTTCCAGAATTTTTGGGATATTGGGGGAGTGGATGTGACTGATAAAGTACTTGTTATTTTGAACAATAATGGTGATATAGGTTCTATTAATCAGACTCATATTGTTTTGATTCCGAAAAATAAGGAATGTGAGTCTCCTGTTGATTATAGGCCTATTAGTTTGTGTAATGTGTTGTATAAAATTGTCACCAAAGTTCTAGCAAATAGATTGAAGGTATTCCTTCCCCACATTATTCATGAGTCGCAGAGTGGTTTTGTTCCTGGAAGATTGATTTCAGATAATGTTTTGGTTGCTTATGAGTGCTTCCATTATCTCCGGAAGAAGAAAACAGGGAAAAAAGGCTTTCTGAGTCTTAAGTTGGATATGAGCAAAGCTTACGACAGAGTGGAATGGGAATTTCTGGAAAAAATGATGAAAAAACTGGGCCTGCAGGAATGTTTTGTGAGTTTGGTTATGAAATGTGTAAGCTCTGCAGAGTTTGATGTTCTAGTCAATGGGCAACCTTCGAGGAGTTTCAAGCCTACCCGGGGGCTTAGGCAAGGTGATCTTCTTTCACCTTTCCTGTTCATTATGTGTGCGGAAGGTTTGTCGACTTTGATTCGTGATGCGAAGAGGGAGAATGCCATCCATGGGGTAAAAATCGGGAGAAATGTCAATCCGATTTCTCATTTATTTTTTGCGGATGATAGTCTTCTTTTTGTGAGAGCAACGGAGGAAGAGGTGGATGCTGTGCTTGGCATTCTTTCTGCGTACGAAGTGGCTTCGGGTCAGAAACTGAATATGGATAAATCAGAGGTGTCTTTTAGCCGAAACATTGAGCAAGAACGGAAGAATATGCTTCAGATGAAGTTAACTTTTAAGGCTGTCGAAGGACATGAGAAATATCTTGGACTTCCAACTTACATTGGGGGTTCTAAGAAACAGGTTTTCCAGATTATTTAGGATCGGGTTTGGAAGAAACTTAAGGGGTGGAAAGGAAATTTCTTGTCACAAGCGGGAAGGGAGGTGTTGATTAAATCTATTGCTCAAGCTATCCCGACTTATGCTATGCAGTGTTTTGCTATCCCCACTAGCATTATTACTGTTATTGAAAAATTATGCCGGCAATTTTTTTGGGGCCGGAAACGGAAAGAGAGGAAGCTATGTTGGATAGCCTGGGAGAAGTTGCAAATCTCAAAAAAGGAAGGGGGGCTTTGCTTCAGAAATATGAGGAATTTTAATAATGCTCTTCTTGCTAAGAAAGCTTAGAGAATCCTAACTAAAGGGGATTCTTTAGTGGCAAAATTTCTCAAAGGAAAATATTTCCCTCATACGTCACTGTTGGAGGCAAAGGTGGGTTCCGATGTAAGCTATACTTGGAGATCAATTCTTGGGGCTCGTGAAGTGTTAGTTAAGGGTCTTCGGAAGGGTGTTGGAAATGGTTCGACTATTCACATTTGGGATGACCCGTGGGTTCCAAACCTCCCAAGCTTCAAGGTGGTGTCGAGCCGTGGATTGGATGAAGAGACTCCTACTTATGTCCGTGATTTTTGGGTGGATAATTCTTGGGATGTTAATGCTCTTAATGCGTTATTTACTCCCATGGAAGTGAGTGAAATTTGTAAACTCCCTATTCCCCTTTACAACCGAAATGATTCGTGGGTTTGGCACTATACAAAGGATGGGATTTTCTCTGTGAAAAGTGCGTACCACCTGATCACTATGGAGCAACAAAATGCAGCAGCTACTACCTCCAATGTGGCGTGCAATTTTCGTTATTGACAAAGTCTTGCATGATTTTCGTTATCAAAAAAAATATACTCCATAATTATTCAAGCTTCAATCAAAACAATTATTCTGTAATTTGGCTTCAAGTGATGATGTCCTTCCGATAACAATATTAAAGGAGTTTATCACAGGTTAGTAAACTATTTTTTATGTCATAATCTATCAATTTGTTGTGGTATGAAATAATCTTCTTGAAAGCAGATATAGTTTATATAATCATATACTTATGTGATAACTTAAATTATTAAGAACGATCTTTTTTATAGTCAATATTTTAATTTTAATCAAAATAATACTAGTTTAAAAAATCAGTTATTTGATAGTTATTCTATAACATTTTATTTATGATATTTGAAAACATTGTAAACGATTTTTTTTTACACGATATTTTTATGTGAAACGTTTTTTTTTTATCAAACAATAAAAAAACATATAACTACATTTTTTTTTGAGGGAATAAACATATAGCTATATTATTGAACAAGATAATAGGAAACAAATTCTTAAAATATCTACATGATAAAAGCAAATAATAGGAGATAAGTATTATCATGAAAACTAAATATTATAAGAATAACTTTCAATTCCCTTGTCTCATACGTCAAACCCCCTGCTTAGACTTTTAGGTTGTTCTATTTTGTTTTCTTTTATTTTTGGATGTATCCCTCATTTGCCAAAAATAAAATAAAATAAAATAAAATTATAAGAATAATAACGTGTAGCTTAGAATTTTTTACCAAAAAGAAAAGTCTTTGACTGTTGAAATATTATTCAAGTAAACAGATTCATTATTTTTTAAAAAAAAATATGAATTTTTTTTTTTTCAATTTCTCCCTTTAATAATAATTGACTAATTATAATATATATTGTATGCAGAAATTTGAAAATGGATGAGAGTGGTATTAAAGTAGTACCATCCACAATAGATCTTAATATGGAGTATCAAGGTGAAGACAGTGAATACGATAGTTCCGATATGGACTTTGATATTAATTCGGAACCGGATTTTATTTGTGACGAAGTGAATGAAAATATTGATGTGTTGAGAGATGATGATGATACAAATGGAACTAATGAAAGTCATCCTATGCTAGAAAAACTTGCTCCTCCAAATGTAGGGATGATTTTTGTGTCTTATGAAGATTCATTGGGTATTATCATGAATTTGGAAAACAAAATGGGTTCCAAATGAAAATCAGAAGTAGAGAAAATGTCAAAGGTACTGAATGTGGTAATAAGTATGATTGCACAAGGTTGAGGCTAGTATGTAAGAAAGAAGGAAAGTTTGTTCCTAGGGGGAAGGATCCATCAAAGCCTACACGAAGTGAAGTTACCGGTTGTAAAGCTAAAATTACAGTTACATTTGACAAAAGTAGCGGGGAATGGAAACTCACCACGATAGTGTTAGAGCATAACCATCCCATAGACCCTTCAAATTCTAAATTGATGCGGAATTATAGATTCATTAGTCCACATAACAAGGATATTATACTAACTAATGAAAAGGCAGGAGTACCTATTGGAAGAAATTTTGCTACATTTGCGGTACGATATGGAGGATTTGGTGCAGTTCCCTTCTCTGAGAAAGATTGTAGAAATTTGGTTTCTAAGCATAGACGTTTGTGCCTTAAAGAAGGAGACTTTTCTGCTATGGAGAAGCATTTCATGGATATGTCTACTAAAGACAAAATATTTTTCTACAAGTATGACACAAGCATTGGTACACTTAAAAATGTATTTTGGGCGGATGGGAGAAGTAGAGCTGCATAACGTGATTTTGGAGATGTGGTATCATTTGATACGACATACTTAAGAAATAGGTATAGGATACCCTTTTGTCCTTTTATAGGAGTGAATCATCATGGTCAATCGATATTGCTTGAGTGTGCTCTAATTTCGGGTGAGGACACAAAAAATTATATTTGGTTGTTTAAGACCTGGCTAGCTTGTATGTCGGGAAAAGCTCCAAATGGTATTGTCACAGATCAATGCATGGCTATAGGTAAACTTCCTACTACTTTATAAATAACTTGCATAACTTTTTCATTTATATATTTGCATGCATGGATTAATAATGTGTACAGTAAATAACTTGTTGTGTATATATATTTGCATGCATGGATTAATAATTTATACAGTGAATAGTTTGTACATTTTGCTAAGCTTTTATTTGGTTTTGTTGTGTGTAGCTACGATTGATAACAACATTACCCAAACTTATGATGAATGATTAAGTTTTAATATATATATCTCCTTTTTCCTTTAAAAAAAGTGTATTTGCATAGTAATAGGCATAATATTATACTAATTAATCTTGCTTTATTTTATAATAAATTATATATGTGGTGTTTGTTGGTAATTAGTAGCTAGAATTTGTCTGTATTAGTGATAGTATCTACCTTGATGTTGTTTTGAAATTATTAAATATTCTATTTACCTCAGGGAGTGCTATTAGGGAGGTATTTCCAAACACAAAACATAGATGGTGCATTTGGCATATTATGAGAAATGCAAAAAAGCACTTGAATTTTCATGAAGATAGAGATATAATCCGTAGAGAGCTGCGTCGGACTCTCCATGATTCTCTTCATGTTGAAGAGTTTGAGAAAAAATGGAAGGATGTTATTGAAAAACATAAGTTACAACAAATTAATTGGTTTAACGAGATGTTTAATCTAAGACATCGGTGGGTTCCCATATATTTCAAAAATGACTTTTGGGTTGGAATGTCTAGTACACAACGTAGTGAGAGCATGAATTTTTTTTTCAAAGCATTTGTGAACCTTAATACTACCTTGAAAGAATTTGTTGAGCAATATTGTCTTGCATTAGGAAAACGAGCCAATGAGGAGGAAAATGAAACATTTCGTTCAATGAATAAGCCAACCCTATGCTTCACCGAATTTGTGAGCGAGAATGTATTTCAACGTCTTTATACCTTAAAAAAATTTGAAGAGTTTCAAGAACAAGTGCGTATGGTTACATATACAAGTGCAACTAAATCCCATGATAATGGAAGTGTTTGTGTTTATGATGTAGTGACCAAGAAGGCTAAATGGCCATGCATACAAAAATTTAAAGTGACCTTTGACCGTGATTCATATGATATGAAGTGTGATTGTAGAAACTTTAAATTTAGAGGGATCATGTGTTGTCATGTGGTTCGTGTATATCATGAGGAGGATATATTATGTGTGTTCCTGAAAAGTATATCTTAAATTGATGGAGAAAAGACTTGGTTAGGGACTACACAAAAATTGTAGTGTCATATTATATATACACCGGACAAAAATCCACATGCAAAGAGATATTTAGCATTGCATAAGGAATTTGAGGAAATTGCCTCTATGGCAACAATTGATGATAAACCATACTCTTCTCTTTTGGAGAATTTGGTTAAATTGAGGCCACAAGTGAAAGCATTGGTTGAAGAATCTCAAGAACTACCCCGGATTGTGAGTACACTTGGTAAAGTTTATGGAAGACACCCCTCACTTAGAGGTGAAGTTGATGGAGATAATCAAAGGGAAAATGTAGATAATCAACAAAATGTCAAAGATCCAGAAGATCGTAGAGGAAAAGGAAAAAAACCAAGTCATAGAAAAGGGTATGACTATGACAAACAAACTACGAAATACAAGAAGAATGCAAGTCAACAAACAAATGAAAAGCTATATATTAATAACATCTTTTTCAATCTAATGTTTCATATTGGTTTTTCATATGAGTATATTTAACTTAAGCATTAACTTCCCTTATCATATGTGTATACTTTTATTTTGTAATACATTGTCTTTCTATTTTAATAGGAACGATATCAATTAAGTGGGATGCCCTTTTCAATGATGTCAAACTATATGGCTAGCTCTTCACAAGTAAGTTGATTTTTAGTGAATTTTTAGGCCGCTGTTTCAATATTATGCTAAATGAAACTAAAATGCATTTTTGGTTATCTAAACAGGATTATAATCGATATGGACATAATATGAATTACAATCCTTCTTCTCATGTGGCTCCAGTACGTTACATTTTCTCAATTTTATAATTATTTATTCCTTTATAAAAGGCAAGGATTATACATGATGTGTATAATAATTAGTTGAAGCAAAAGGTTTAATTTTTCCTTGCAGGTTGTACGACCCAATATTGGTACATATGCAAAATTTTATGATGTGTATAATAATTAGTTGAAGCAAAAGGTTTAGTTTTTTTTTTTTTAATGAACAGATCAATTAGCTACAATATTATGTATCTAAATATTCCTATAATTATGGCTGATATAATGCTATAGCCATAGAATATAAATTGTGCAATCTTTTTATATGTTAATCTTTGTAGATATATATGCATACTTATCTAAATTAGCGGTTAAAAATTGTTTTTTATTTCAGAAAACCTTTAAAGAATATTTTATATACACTAGCATATTCCTAGAATTATGGCTAACATGATGCATTGATGCTAGCATGTACGTCAAACGTTTAATTTTTTTTTTTTTTTTTTTTTTTTTTTTTTAAGGCAGACATGTACGTCTATAATAAAAATTTGTTGTGGATTTTTTTTTTTTTTTAAAATTTTTTTTAAAAGAGATGTATGTATATCTTTGTAAGGTAGACAATTATGCATACTTTAATAACATAAACAAGATTAAGATATGTTCGTCTTTGTAGTTTTTCTTCATATAAAATAGTCACGATTTTAAAATGTCAAAAATTGTAATTTAACAACAACTCGAGATATAAAATCAAGTTTGAAACAGATTGAACAAAAAAATATTGTAATTTAACTTATAAATTTTAATCCTTAAACATGTAAATTGTAATTAAAAACCCACTCAACATATAAAATTTAAATTCAACTCACGATTTTAAAAATACCTTATTTAGAGAACACATTTTACAATTCTATTGCAATTCACTAATTTGCATATACCTTGTATTTTGTTTTATCTTGTTTCTATTAATTTTTTTTAATACAACTTCATGGAATAAACTGACGACAATAGAATTATTGACCTACCTCATGACAATGAAAAGAAAACAACAGAAGAATGAAAACATAAATAGAAATAAAAACCATGTTAATTAAATAAAAACATAATTCTTTGGCAGAGGGAGGGGTCTTTGAAAAAAGCTTCTTTCTCAATTTGTTTGTTGGGTAAGGCTAGCAGTGGATCGTACAAAGACTTCAAAGCAATTGGTGAAAATGAAACAGATTTTGAATTCTCCATATCTCACCAAAGCTTTTTGAGTAAAAGACCGATTTTGTATGTAAAGTTTGTATGGGTATGAAACTTATTGGAAGGTTGTGTAATTTATAGGAAATTATCAAAGACTAGATTCAAAGTAAGAGTGGAATATGAAGTGTCTTTTCTTATTTTTCAATATTTGATTTCATCTGGGAATTGTATAGAGGTGGATACCAAAAGTTTTTTCAAGTTTTCCAAAAAACTCCATTATTGCTAAGAAACATTGGGAAGGGGTCATTTGTTTTTTTTATTATTATATTTATAATTTTTTTTTTTGAGATAAATATTGAATAAATGGGGTATAACCGTTTTACTCTAAAAAAAAAATATGTAGTGTAATTTTGGTTTTCTTTTCTATACGGTTGCGACATAATTACATGAATGGATTTTTTTGTTGTTTTTTTTTAATTTTTTTTTTCGTTTTTTTTAAATACAAGGTTTGCCTTTTTTAGGAAATTAAACTAAATACACCCTTTAAAAAAAATAAACAAAATACTAAATAATAACATATACAGGTCATTAAAAAAAATAACATATCAAATGGAAAACAAAAATTTTATCAAGTGTGTTTAAATTTGTTCAAAATGGAAGATGAAACTAATAAAAATGGGGGGGGGGGGGAATTAAGCACATGAAATGGCAAAAAAAAAATTCACATTAAATATTAAGGTAAAGTGATTATTTTTTAATTGATTTAAAAAAAGTGATTTTTTTAAATAATGAAAGAAAATGCTTTTAGTTTGTTATAACTTTTTTTTTACACGTAGATTTGTTCTAACTGAAAAATGAAGATAATAGAAATGAGAAAAAATAAAATTTAGCATATGAACTGGGATTTTGGAAAAATGTAATAGTTTATCAATACATGTTAAGTTAAAGTGATTATAACATAAATAATGAAACAAACTGTGTTAAAATTTGTTCAAACCAAAAGATGAAATTAGTAGTATACCGATGAAATTCATGTATACAAAGATGGGAAAATACATAAAGGTTAGTTTAAAATAAAAAAAATAGTAAAATGTAACATTAGAATATATAATCTAGATAACAACACGAGATATAAAATGCGTTTAGGTTTGAAATCGTTCGGTTTTTATTTAGACCAATTCCAATCTTACCTGAATAATGATTGGATTTGGAAAAGTCGAGTCTAATCGGATCCTAATTTTGAAAACAGTTCATCTGACTTACTTTGAATTATAATCCGATTTGGATCTACTCATCAAAATTACTAATTGGATCTGTATTTGGTTTAGATTTGTATCATACTTTTGGATTTTGGTCTTTAATTACCAAGTCAATCATATGATTGCATCCCATGACATAATTTAGCTAGATTGACATCTAACCAATCACATGTTAAGTTCTTTGACCTAGGTTTGATTAGGATTATTCGAGCTCAAGTCAAACTTAACTGAAGCTTCAATTTGGCAATTCGAGTTTTGCATGATCTAAAATTTTGATGCTATTGAAAGTCAGATCATATATAGGTGTCATGGATTCATAAGAACCTTCTATAGAAACATTCGATTGTAACAATATTCAAATTCAGATTCTAACAAACATGATAAATTTGGATCATATATGCAGCTGAACTGAACTGTTTGGAGATGAACTAAACTGAATAGAGCTGAAATGAATAGTTTATGAGAAAAGGAAATTAGGATATAAGTTAAATTGAACTATATTGAACTGAACTGATTGGAGCTTAACTGAAATTAACCTGAAGTGAACATGCCCTAAATTCAAAAAAGTTCAGATGAAATCAATTCAATTCATTTCAAATAAGTTCAGTTAAGTTCAAATAAATCCAGATAAGTGAAATTAAAGAAAATAGAACACACCCAAAATCTTGGTTAAGTTAATTGCTTGTTATATTGTCGTACTCCCTCTGTTAAACTTCATCATCACGTCCCCTTCTAATTTAATTTTGTTATATTGTACTCCCTCTGTTAAACCTAAATGTTAGTATATTTAATGTATCTAACAAAATTATGGGTCTGTTCACAGTTACTTAATTTCAATTCAGTTTAGTTCAGCTCCAATTAATCAATTTAGTTCAGTTCAGTTCAGTTCAGCTCCGTATTTCCTTCTCGCATAAAATATTCATTTTAGCTCAGTTCAGTTTAGCACTTTAGCTCCAATAAGTTCAAGTTCAACTCCAATAAGTTCAATTCAGCTCAGTTTAGTTAATGTGAACATGCCTTATGTTTTAATAATTACGCATGAAACAACTTTATGTATGATGAAATATAAACAATTTTTTATACTCATAACATAAGCAATCATGACATAAAGTTTTCTTTGCTATGAAGGTTCACCCTTTTTTCCTTAAATAAGGTACGGAGTAGTAGCATACTAGTATACACCGTTTTTTTATAATTGTATGTTATTGGATGTTATACCTTATCTTAATGCTTGGTTATTTCGCGTAATATGCATTCGTACAATCATACTCTTATGAGTATCAAGTAATTATTAAATTTTTAACATTTTTTTACTATCACATTTCATAACAAATTTTATTGAAAATTTCATAAGATATAATAATTTTAAGAATATATTATACGTTGTACTCGTATCCTCTATTTTAAAAACTCCAGAGCAGATACTCTCTATTCAAATCTTTTGAAGATGTGAAGAACCCGAAGCACTGTTCCTTAACAAATGTATCTTTATAAGAATTAATATTAACAAATGTATCTTGATAAGAATTAATATAACAAATGTTTCTCCCAAAAGCACCCGAAAAACAATTGATAGAACTTCATTTTTGAATATACTTCAATTATGTATCAGCTAATAATAGAAATTAATATTATCATAAGAAACAAAGTTGATCGTATAAGAAATACCTTTCTAAGTCATGGTCATATAAATTAGAGTTGTCTCCACTAGTACGATAAAGGGGTAGGCCAAGTCTACCAATTAATCTTTCTCAAAAAAAAAAAAAAATAATAATAATAAAAATATATATAATTAAGAATGAAAATTAATGGTGTCAAGGGATTCTCAGTTATTCACCATGCAACCTGTTGAATCATTAGTTTAGTAGCTTGATGAGGTAAAATCAGTCATTGGGAGAGAAGGAACAACAAAAGCCACAAATACCAAAATATTATCCTCTTTCCTCCAACAAAGCATTAATTGTGTTTTGATTCCTTTCAATGACATGTACACCACATATTATAAGCAATGCCACATTGTTTGCCAACTCACATGGGTAGACTACCTAGTGGGTGAATTAAGTTTTCTCCCTAACCATGCATTAGTTATGTTCACTAACATTACACCTACTCATTAGCCACATTTTGGATTTACTTTTCCCCAACTTTAATACCACCACGCCCTAAATCAATGTCAACAACTTTGACCAAAGAAGCAACAAAACATAATTAATTAAACATATACGAAAAAAAAATATATAATCAAATGACTACCAACTTAATACGAGGTTTCAATAAACCCAAAAGTAAAGCAATTAATCAATTTACATATACTTTCTATTATCTAACTAGAGGAAACTAAGTAACTAATTAACTAACATGTTTAATACACGTACAAATTTAATTAATATTACATGATGATGCATTATTACAACCCTTTAGAAACTCAATTGTCTCTTGCATGCTTCAAAAGGTAACTTAAAATAGGAACTACTTCTTTTATGTAAAGAAGAACCAAATTCTTTGATAAATTCATCAATCAATTCTCTATAAATTATATCTTGTAAAACCAATCCAATTCTTCCAACCTCTTGTACTTGCCCTTGTTCGATATACCTACAAACCTCGTACACGCTCTCTTTCATTGCTATGCTCCATGGTTCTCCGGCTGCTGCTGTCGTGGTGGCGGTGTTGTTGAGCACCTGCTGATGATGAGTAGGTCTAGTAGGAAGATGTAATGGTAGTTGTGGTGTAATAGAAGGTAATGATGGTTTGTTAAGGAAATTGATGGCTTTGTCTTCATGATCTCCTGGCTTTTTCCTAGTCATTTGTTGCGGTTTTTGTTGCTTTGGCTTTTGTTGTTGCATAATTTGTTCTGGATTACCAAAAAATTGGAGAATTAATCATTAATGTTCGTTACATAGTTTATTGTCACAATATTAGTTAGAAACTAAAATTAAAGAGACTATATGATGATTAAAGCTACTCCATAAGTAATAATTATAAGACTACTGCATTTGCCTAAAAATTTGAATAGTAAGTTGCATGCTTTATGAGATTATCGATGCTACTACCTCTGTTTTATATTATTTGCAACAATTGAACATTTTTCCTCTCTAGTTTATGTCAAATAGTTGCAAATAATATGAAACGGAGGTAGTATTTTTACTAATTAATGACATGTAATTATGACCAAACGCCAAATAATGTGCAAAAGTTTGAAAATCTTTTATAACAAAGTACTTTTCACATTTGTTTTAAATATTAATAAGGTTTATAAATAATGTAAAAATCAAAACGTTGCAATTAAAAGAGATCAGCGAAAAGTTTATAAATACCATCATACCATATCCTAACTTTCAACACCGTACAGCTTATTCAAGGATCTATATACTTGCTAATTCATGAAAATATACCGTCTAGATCATTAAAACTACTCCACTCGATCTACTTTGATCTCGAACTTTTTCAAAACTAATTATGAAATAGTCCTCTAAAGTTTAAAGCTCATCAATTCATGTCATAATGAAACCCATTACTTGATTAATGTAGCTGGGGTCACATTGTGATCATTTATTCACACTACCATATAGAAGTATACGATAAATGCAAATTAAAGTAATATTGGAGAATAATGGTTACATCTAATCACTAAAAGACAAGGAATAATCAAGATTCAACACCAACCAAAGAGTTTGATTAATTGGGGGCCTGGCCTACAACATCTATGTGTGTTTGCGTGGGCCCAATCTACCTTAAGTATGGTGGATTAAAGTTTGTCCCTTTTGCATGAATGAACATGCATTGTCTCCCACTTTGTGATGAAAAAATTCCACCTTAGGTTATCTTATAAATTAAAAGGCTGTTCTTTAGATTTCATGCGTATTATAGAATGAATTTAAGCTCTCTCTTAAAAAAAAAAAAAAAAAAAAAAGCATCTTGAGGAGATGATGTTTTTATACAATAATGAGATCAGGAAATATTACATAGGCTTTGTTAAAAAAATACTTCAAATTAGTCGCAACCTATAAGTTCATCATACCCTCATTCATAACCTTATATGTTCGTTTGAATGTCATTATGGTATGTATAAAGTGTGCACATCACATACTCTTAAGTCTTAACTAATCGTTCCTACACACTAATGATTGACACCTAAAGATATGTAGGTTGGGAGCAAATACTTTTTGATGGAGTAATATGGGAGTTAATTAAAGTTACTATTTATGGATTTCATATGAATGAATTAACAACCCTAGAGCATCTTTAAGGGTGAACATTTTAATAGTTCACAATGAGTGAACAAATAAGGTGGTGGCTTAATGACAAACTCTTTAATTGTTCATGTTGAGTGGTCATGGGTTCGATTGCAGGAGCAAGCACTTGCATGAATTAATTCGCTGTGGGCCCCACCAATATTTTGGACTGATATTCATGCAAAACGACGTCGTTTTGCTGTTAAAGGTCAGAAAAAAAATAGAAATCAGCGGCTGGGAGCGCGCCACTTGGCCCAGCCGCTGCTTGACACGTGTGTACTGTTTTAAATATATCCGTTGTAATTTTACAACGGATATATTTTACAAAATACAAATAAAAAAAAAAAAAAATTACCAACGACTCTATTTTTTTCCCCTCTATAAATAGACACCCATATTGATATACTTTTTTCAACTTTGAAAATTCATTTTTTTCTACTATATTTTTCTCTTCAAAAATCCCCTCTATAATTACCAATATTATTATTATTTATACCAATATTAATATTATTATTGATATTATTATTTTTAATTATTATCATTAATATTATTATTATCGTTACTATTATTTTTATTATTATCGTTATTATTATTATTATTATTATTTTTATTATTATCGTTATTATTATTATTATTATTATTATTATCGTTATTATTATTATTATTATTACTATCGTTATTATTATTATTATTATTATTATTATCGTTATTATTATTTTTATTATTATTGTTATTATTATTATTATTAAATTTTTATTTTTTCCAAATATAAATTATAATTATGGATGCTAATACCAACCCCAAAACAAATAGAAAGAAGAAAAAAAATTTGGGTCAAAATATGATCCCGAATCAAGCCAATTTTCCTCCAATTCACCCAAATTTTTCACAAACACCCACAAATATTCCCCATAATTTTTCTGGAGTTTATCCTCAAATACCCCAGTCAAGTTTCCCAAATAATCCACCAAATTTCCCATTTTCATAGCCCATGTGATCTTATTCTGTTTATTCAATTATATCAATTTGTCTCTTTATATATAATTGTGTCAGTATCTTAATTTCCCCTTTGTTAGCCCATGTGAAACCCTTCTTCTCCATTCAATTTCTGTGTGGTTCTAATCCAGTGTTGGTCATAGCCCATGTGAAACCCTTCTTCTCCATTCAATTTCTGTGTGGTTGTAATTCATTGTTTGTCATAGCCCATGTGATCTTTGTCTCTTTATATTCAGTTATTTCTGAAGAAGAATTACAAATTAGTTCACTATAAATAAACACCATTCTTTCATTTTTTTTACACACAAACACATAAATCGTTTGCAGTTACTATTAGCAAACCTCACTCTATCTTACATTTCTTACGTACAAAATGAATTCAAACAGTTTAAACGAAAGCTCAACCGATTCCTCTTCATCTTCATCTAACTCGGATGATGAGGGAAGGGAGCTTAGAGTTCAACAACGTAATGAAGTGTGTCTTATGATACAACACGTAATGCATGAGTACATTCCACCAATTATTCAAGCTGCCACTCAGCAACGTCGACGCAAATCTACTGAGCCCTGAAAGGATAGGGGACGCGAAGAAGGTCATGCACGGTTATACAATGACTATTTCGCGAAAGTCCCAGTTTATCCAAGTTCCTTGTTCCGGCGCCGGTTTCGAATGCGTAAACATGTGTTTGAGCGCCTTCTCAACGCAGTGACCCAACATGACCCCTGGTTTCAACAAAGGCGAGATGCGGCAGATCGTCTTGGTTTGTCTCCACTTCAAAAGTGCACTGCGGCCGTTAGACAACTAGCTTACGGGTGTGCTTCAGACGCTTGTGATGAGTATGTCCGTATAAGTGAGGCAACTTCACGATTGGCACTCCAAAAGTTTACAGAAGGTGTCATCAACCTGTTCGGTGATCAGTACCTACGCCGTCCAAACATCGCAGATATGGAAAGATTGCTACGTATTGGGGAAGAACGTGGATTTCCTGGCATGATAGGCAGCATTGATTGTATGCACTGGGAGTGGAAGAACTGTCCACACGCATGGAAGGGGCAGTATCAAGGAAGAGAAGGAGTTGCAACTCTCGTACTGGAGGCAGTTGCGGACAGAGATCTATGGATATGGCATTCGTTCTTTGGGATGCCAGGTAGCTGCAACGATATTAATGTGCTTCATCGATCCCCTGTGTTCGAAGACATCTTAGAGGGTCGAACACCTCCTGTGAACTTCGTAGTCAATGGTCATCATTATACGAATGGGTATTATCTTACTGATGGAATCTACCCTAGATGGGCTTCTTTTGTGAAATCCATTACGAGTCCACAAACTCGTCAGGATCGTTTATTCGCAAAACACCAGGAAGCTGCAAGGAAAGACGTTGAACGCGCATTTGGGGTCCTTCAAGCTCGTTTTGCCATTATTAAAAAGCCGTCTTTGGCGTGGGATACCGACATACTCCACAATATCATGCTCGCCTGCATCATAATACATAATATGATCGTTGAAGATGAACGAGAGACGTATCAAAATAACGTTAATACCAATGAGTTTATGAATGCTGGAGGCAACGCTAATGAGGACACTACCGAGTACCGTACTGATCGTATTGTGGATATCGGCTTATACTTGTCTCGTAGAACAGAGATTGAGGATCAACAGACTCATTTGCAGCTAAAAAACGACTTGATCGAACATATATGGAATAAATTTGGTAACAACGAAAACTTAGGCAACTAGGTTTACAACAAATGGTTATCCCTAAGGACATCTTACAAAACGATGTGTAGTTGTTTTTTTTTTTTTAAATAAAATGTACTAGATTATAGTTGTAGAACTGTAATCACGATTTGTACCTCTTTTTTTTTTGTTAATTAAAATTAGCTGCGTTGTTGTTTAAAAAATATTAATCACAAGAATTAGTTTTTTAAAAAGCTGATAAAAAAATGCGATAATTTCTTAATTAGTAATCACGATTAAAATATTAAATACGTCAATTAATTACATTGACATCGGGTTAATAAATTATAATTATGAAACAAAAAGGATTATATTTACAAAAATAAAATAAGGTGGGGTAGGGAGTATTGATGATGAACCATTGTTTAGTGTTCATTGTTAAGAGTGAATATTGTAAATGGTTTGTTGGGTTGATGTGGATGAGAGAGAAATCGTGATAGTGACCCATGAACCATTTTTTTGTGTTCACCAATAATGATGCTCTTATAACTTACGTTACTCAGTACAAATAGGAGGCTACATATACATACGACCTACATAAACCTAAGAAGACCTTATTCTATACTCTAATGCGTGGAAAGGAAAAAGGAAAACACCATCAATGTGTTTTTTGACCACAAAACATTATCATTTGATGTAGAGGTGTATTACATAGATCATGTGCTAAAAGTATGCTCTAATCATAAGCTGTCTTATCCATGAAATTCTATGGAAGATTGTGCTTAATTAGGGAAACTTTCACCTGGATTTTGCCTATGAATATTATCATTTTTGACACAGAATCTTGCATTTGGCACCAGCCATATACGGAAGGTAGCTAGGCTAAGGGAGACAGGGAGTAAGGGTACCCCCCCAGAGTATATCCTCATCGAGTCCTCGATTGTCTCACGATATCTTACCGTTTTGACTTTTTACATTAAAGAGACATAGTTGAAATTTAACGATATTTTGTATTAATATACAAGGTGTATATTTTCTAATAGTTAAATACCCATTGTTATTATTACTTATACATTTATTTTTAATAAATCTATAGCTAAAATTAATTGATTTAATTATTAGAAATAGAATTTCCTTAATCTAGAATTAAGCTAGCAAAATCAATGGAGCATAAATAAGACAAAAACAAAATGTTCATAATAGAAAATTAGTCTTACCATTAGGGGCTCTTTGGTAATAACCAGATGACAAGTGGCGGTGATCTAACACCGATACCGGACTCGGCCCATCACTCCCCACCTCACTTTCAACCTCCTCCGCCTCCTCTCCTCTAATCATCTCCACCACTTGTGGTGGCGTTTGGGTGGCGCGCACCGCCTCGATAATCTTCTTCAACGCCTGCAAGTCCTCATCGCATTTCTCCAACGCCCCCAGCAGCTTCCTCCTCTTCTCCGCCGACGGAGACACCACCGTAGCCGGCGCCGGATATCTCGCCGGAAAATCTTCAAGTCCCATTAAACGTGCCACCACCCTAGGTGAGCTCACCGAGCTGTCTGTTGATGATCGTCGGATCTCTGCCGGAATCGCAGGGCTTCTCGGCGTCTGATCAAGCGAAAGTCTTCCGCCCGACGAGCCTTGTTCTTGTTGTTGGCATTTGATGGTGTCTTCGGATTTTGTTGGTGGTGGTGGTGATGTGGGAGCTTGAACAACGGCATTATTACGTTCTTGTTTTTTACCTATTATGATTAATTATTGATCATGTTAATGAATAAAGAAATTACGTTTAAATACATAATTTTCCTTAAAAAAAAAACATAATTTACATATATACAATTTATTTTAATGCTAACTAAATGAACAAAATAATGTAACTCTAGTGCAAATGTTCTTCTATTGTTTTATGAAATGTAATATTGTAAAATAAAATTGGTTTTTCTCAATATGATCACAAGTTTATGCTAGTTATTTTTTTTCTATTATCACAAAAAAAAAAAAAAAAAAAAACGTAGGTTAAATAAAGTTTACGTACGTACCAAAAGTGAGGAATTTGCGGCGAGTATGGTACTTAGACATGAGATGAAAAATCCCGGACATACACCCAACATTGGTGGTTGATGTCGCCGGAGAACCGGAGTCTCGGCGATAGGAGGAAGACCTTAACGACGACGATGACGACAACGGCGCCGCCGACGTAGTTTCTTGCCTCTTCTTCTTTTTCCCTCCCATATCTACTACCACTAATTACTCTAAGGCTAAGCTAGTATAATTTTTGTGATAGTTGAGTTTTTTGGGCAGGAGAATATGTAACGGTAAAGAAATGACAAGAAATGAGAGTAAATAAAAGTAAGTATAAAGGAGTGAGGAAATTATGGAATTGTGGGGTGTAATATGATGAATGATGATGAGCTTTTTTTATTTTTTGCTTTTACTTTTCATCTTTCTGATACTCTTTCTTTGGCAAATACAATTTTTTTTATTTTATTTTTTTTTTTTATTTTTTTTTTTGGAGGTAAGTTAAGAATTAGGAGGTGTATATTTTGTCACGCAAAGGTCGTTAGATGAGTGACAATGCTTTTGACTCGCTCTTGCATGTTAGTACCAACTAATTTAACTTGTGGTAAAAATTTAGTTGGTGATAGATTGAGGTTTAAATGAGTCAAGACTAATCAAGTATAACTTGTAGTTCTCCATAATTATTAGATATTACTATTGTTTCCATGAAAACTGTTAAAAGAAACCAAAATTCCATAATTAACCTACTTTTTATCTTAATTCCCGACATATCGTCTATGTGAATTAAATATTCCAACTTTTTTTTTTCTTTTTAAAGTAAGCTGCATGAAACCGCTAATTCAATTAAGTCGAGCAGTCTTCTCTTCTCCAAAACAAATACATAGAATATACAAATAGCAATTTTGCTAAGATTCGGAAAAAATAAAACTCCTACGTAGTATTTATAAATAAAAGTTGGCATGGACATATGCAGGGAATTTTATAAAATGGGGTGTAATTGTGGAACTCAGATTTGTTTAAGCATTTTCCATGTAAATTGCTCAACATATTACATTTGCCAATGCATAAATGAATTCAAATTCAATTATAAGTATCTCTAATTATTAATAAGCAAAAATATAATAAGCATTGAGAATTTTTTTTTTTCCTTAAAAATTAGTCATAGGAAGATAAAAACCCAAAATAACTTGTCAATGCGAATACTCTACAAAGTACTCAAAATATGCCTCTAAAATTATTTGTATAAGGTGTCGTAGAGCTCAACAACTTAACAAAGGATCAGATATAAGTATATTACAATTTAGTGTAATCCAAAATAGGTTCATAGAATAAATTGTTTTCTATATTAGTCTCATCTTTCATAAAATCATTATATTACCCATTGTATTGTATAAATGTCACAATATTAATAGTAACAAAATAAGCCGACAATTTGCAAAGAACAAAATTAACAGCAAATAAAATAGCCAACCTTATGTATGAAAATTTTGTCAATAAAGGTATAAAAATGAAAAAATAAAAGATTATTTAAATGAAAAGTGGACAATATATTTGATAGAACTATAGAAGTGATATACGAAGTATAAAACACCCTTTTCTTTTACTCCAAAGTTGTCCCATACAAATATGTCATATACCATGCAATATCAATGTCTTCTCTGTTAAAAGCTGACTATCTTATTATATATCCCCCCACAAAAACCACCATAAATAAATAAAAAGTTGCCACCAAGAATATATAATATGTCGCATGTCACATGTTTATACTTTAGGCCAACAAACTTTCATCATTGTCTGACCATTTCAATATGTTTATGAGTGGGGGCCTAAAGTATCTAAGCTTTGGATACTCTCTTATTAGATTGTGTTTACTCTAGTTCTTGAATTAGCTGATAATTAAGGTTTTATAACTACTTAAACCCAAACTGCAAATAATTAGCTTGACTTTTTATAACAGACCTTCATGATCGATAAGCAGGCAATTGAAAACTTAACTCTAAACGAAACTGAACTAAGACGAGTTCTCATCTATTGAACAGAAGAAACTAATTCCGATTGCACATTACAGTCCAGTATCTTGGAAAAACATCAGTGCAACCAGGAAACTTCAAACAGCTAGCACCGTAAAACTACCTGATGAGCTACTGATAGCTTACCTAAAACATTAAAACTTACAGAGTACAGGCGGGCAAATCTGATCTACAGCAGAACCAAAAGAGAAGTTTTTCAAAGCAACCCTCTCCTCCTCTTATAGTCACCCACTGAAAGAGTCAAAGAATGTGTTCTTCCGTCATCTACTGGAACTTGGCAGCCTATATTAGCTTCAATCTTCTGTTTTCTGGCCAAAAAGGCAGCTGCTGCCCCATATGCCCCCCCGAAACTCTCTAACAAAGACAGAGAAATGGGTAGCTTAAAATCATGCAGCGTGTTTGACTCTGTTCCTTGGTCCACTGGTGCTTTTGTATCCACCAATTTTCCTGCTCCAGCAGCAACCGCCAAAGCTGCAGTTGTAGCGTCCTTAGCATCACTGCTCTTGATCTTCTCAGTGTTTGATACACTGACATCATTAACAACTTCAGCTGTTCCAACTCCAGTTGTTGCAGGCTTAGCTTCCTGCTTTGCATAATAGTTTATAGACCTAGTCCATCTTCTCGAAAAAGGGTCATATCCAGCATCTCCAGGATTCAAACTCCGGTCTGCTGTTTTCGAGGATGAGACTCGGAAATTCTCAGCTCGATTCTTTTTGTTCATTTCCACAAGCTTCAGTGCCTTTTTATCTAAATCTTGGCCTTGTCTGGCTTTTTCAAGTTCTTTTAGTCGGATTTTGATTCTTTCAACCTCATCAACATCCTCTTTGTTTTCTGCATTTTCCAACTCTCTCCTCAATTTCTCCTTCTCAGCTGCAATGTTCATTGGCCTGGCTGAGACTGATTTCTTTTCATGCAACATTTGTTTCACTGTTTCAGCTGAGTAAACAAAACCATTTATTTTATCAATAACATCCTGCTTCTCCAAAACTTCTTTAGTGTGTGGCATTCGACCACCACTACGGTCCACCTCTCTTCTCCATTCATTAAACTCTTCCAAGGTAGGTGGAGAGTCAGAAACTCTAGCCATCTGCCACCTTGCAGCAGAACGATCACTGCCCCACACACAATTTAGGTACTTATGGGTTGTCTTATTCTCAAGCATATATTTTCTGTTTGGATCAGAAGCATCAATGTTTTGAACCATGCATAACCTGTAAATGCTTCGGCCATCCTTCATCCCAATACCAACCCTGACAAAGCAACCGATGATCAACTCCTCAAAAAATGGTTCCATAAACCACTTTGCCAGTTTCGACCTCCTGATAGTAATATTCTTTATCTGTTCATATGTTGGAGTGTTTGAGATAGTACTATCTCTATCTTCATCACTATAGTCCATTCTGCCACCTCCTGTCGACCCTTCATCATCACTGCGAGAATCACTTCCATTTTCACTCTCACTAGAGCTACCTGAGCTAGAAGAACCAACACCTTTCCTCTTCTTTGGAGAGTATTCCCTGGAAGCACGGCGTTCATGGCTCCCTATCTGCTTCCCCTCTGGATCCCTCTTCATCCGTCTCGCTTTCAATTCCTTCAAGGCATCAGCCTTGGCTGCCGAACGATCAGCATATCTGATAGAAGAACGCACTCCACGAGAAGAAGCAGGAGGTGAGATGTCTTTTGCAGATTGGGACTTTTTATCACTGCTCAATCTTGATCGCATCTGTTTGTGTAATTTTCTATCATCTATCTTTGCAGCCCTATCAGACAGAATCATCTCCCTCTCAAGTTCTGTCAACTTTGAAAGTTCCTCCCTATCATTTTCATCTTTGTAAAGGTCACTACCAACATCAGAATCACTGCTATAACCTTCACGATCAGATCCCCCACCTTTGATATCCATATCATCACTACCAGGATCATCATTTCTATTCTTTGACCTTTTTTTTAAAGGAACTTGAGACCCAGACAGCTTTTTACCTGCATGTCTGTGGTTATCATCTGACTCATCATCCTTGGAATCACTTCCACCATCTGAATACGAACCCTTGTGCCGTCTTTTGGAAGTTGAATGAGACTGTTTATTTCTCTTGGATGCACCTGTTCGTCCTGCTGCCTCCAAGAGCATGTTCTCCAAGTCTGCCTCTGACATGACTGCTGTGATTTGTGAGAATAATTTGGTGGTGAGCTATAAACTGCAAAAATACAAAAAAAAAAAAAAAAAACCGTTAAGATACAAATTTCACATTACAGACATGTAAAGGTTAATAATTAATAGTTCAATTCACAAAATTGATCCAACATAATATGGAGCTAGAAGACCTTTAACATAATAGCAATATACAAGATAATAACGTAAACTATATCAACAAAGTAGAACTTTGTTGAAGAAGCTCAAGGATATGTCATGCAAAAACTGAAAGCTATAACAAATAACAATATCACTATGAAAGGGCATATCGTATAACATTCAGCCAAAATTATCTCATAGTCTAATTATTCATATCTGAATCACTAAACTGTTAACTGTCAATGTAAAAAAAAGACTTTTAGGTCTATAATAAGCACGTGAAAACGAATACAATAATAAATTTTAAGGTCTATAATAAGTAATAAATTTAACAATATCTAGGTTTCATTTAATTTGATCCAACTTTTCTGTCAACTAAATCGAATAACTTTCAGATAACACAAATCCTTTAAGATCAATCCACATAACTTCCAGAGTTTACAATACTTGAAACATCGATGCATCAACAAAAAGGTAATATTCAGGGCAACAAAAGAATTTGGTTACAGAATTATTTGCATAGCAGCAACAGACTTTTGACGATGACATTATAAATTACTGACATACTTCGTATAATGACTGCTTTTTTTTTGAAGAAAATACTTCCGTATAATGACTAGTTACAACAGGAATTACAGAACCCAGGGTACAGAAATCAGAGGACACCAGGAACAGATTATATTAAACAGAAGTATGATCATAAACCAAAGCATAAAAGTATAAATATTATATCTACGCATAGCTACAAGCCTACAAGAAAAGAAACGACAATTATGTTCCAGCAATCAATTTTAAGTTCAATTTTGTTGAAATTGACATCAAAACATCCCCTAACAATGCTAATATTATTACAGCCAATTAAAATATATACAAGAAACAACTTAATCAAAGAGAAAATTGAGAGAATTCAATTAGGGATGCAATCCTTGAAAACAGCCTAAATAGGAGAAGGATCGGCTTGAGCACGAATCTAGACAAAGCCTCAATCAAAACTTGGCTTGGCTCTAGTAGCCTAAAAAATTTTGGACTAGGAATGTGTGCTCGATTAGGATCGAAAAATACGACACATTAGCTACCAAGTTTGACACAGGTTCAAAAAAATCACATAAATTGTTCTTGCTTGAGTATATCAACGCAAGTTGCACATATTAGCAACAAAATTTATTTCAAATATCAAATTAGGCTCGAAAAATCACATAATATTGTTCTTGCTAAGATATACTTGTATATCAGAGTAAATTAGAAATTTTCAATTAAATTCGATTCAATTATCAAATTAGGCTCAAATAAAACTGCTTTCGCTTAAAATTATCAACGCAAATTGCACATATTAGCAACAAAAACTAACTCAAATATCAAATTAGGCTCGAAAAATCACATAATATTGTTCTTGCTAACATATATATCAACGTAAATTGCAAATTTCAATTAAATTCGATTCGATTATCAAATTAGACTCAAATAAAACTGCTTTCGCTTAAAAATATCAACGTAAATTGCACAATGCAAATTCCTAGCAACAAAAATCGCTCGATATAGGCATTCACACCTCCAGTAATAATACCAACAGCTTAATTATTCAGCATAGAAGAACCCTAATTTGATTATACTGCCAATCAAATTTTTTAAAAAAACGTGAAATTAAACCCTAGATTGTGAAATTGATATTCAATATTTAAAAAGAAAAAAAGGAAAACAACTTACCTTAGATGATGATTCAATGGAGAAATGAAGAAGAAAGTCGGTCGAACAGAGAGAAAGCTGAGAGAAAGCTTCAATGGAGAAGTTAGAATACGCTTCAATGGAGGAGAGAGAGAGAGTGCACTAGTGCAGCGTAAATAAAAGTAAAAAAAGCTTTAAAAGAGGTAAAAACAAGATTACGATTAATGACACCCATTTAATACGGGGGTTAATGTTAAGATTGTTAACTGTAAGACGTAATACTTTCTCTTTTTAAATTACGAGTAGGATATTTTGACTTTTGACATAATTTATAAATTACTTTGTAGTACGTACTTTTGTCTTTAAACTATAGTCTATAGATATGAAAAAGTATAGTTATAAATTATGATAGATCTTATTAAGTTCGATTAAATATGTAATACTCGTAATGTACTACGTTCCTTTGGCGTTAGATAAACATTTGAAATATTTCTTACAATGGTTTTAATTTAGGAATGAATGTAAAATCACGCATCGATCGGTGTAAATATTATTCATTTTAATTCAATATTTTACTTTTAGCTATCTAATTCAACATTTCAACTCCCCTAAGGACATGCGTTCGTTGGCTTTTGGTTGAGATGGTCATTTGATAATTATATTATTTTGGAATTCATTGTAATCCACGGGGTTTTCTACGTACGACATGCTGTGAAACATCTGAATTGGTTCACATATTATATAATCTTCAAATTTGGATTTCTTTTCACCTTTTCATTGTTTTTACCATAGGCCCCCATGACACCTTGAAAGACCATTTTGATGATTGAAACCACCTACTTTGTCTTTATACCGCCAATTAAATCGTTTATGTATGCTCATTCTAGAATTAACTCAAGTTCATCATATATGAGCAATTGAGCATATATGTGATCAATTAGGGATCTTATATGGTTCCAAACAACATATATGACATTGAGGTTCATCACTCTCACCTCCAAAAATTTCGACACCAGGTCCTTAAACCTCCTTTGTTTAAAATTAAAGTGTGAATTATACCTTCAGTTTTGACCAACTTAATTTTTCCGAATCATGAAAGGAATTGAAACAAGTTAGTGTGCTTCTCATGGAGCCCACGCCACTATGCATGAGGCCATTTTAGTATTTGGTATACTGTCAACTTTAACTTTAGTCAATTTAACCATTTACTTCTACACCTTCTTTCACTTCTTCAAGGTCACCCTAAGTCTTTATATGACTGATTAGTGATTGTATTGTTCTAAACAACATTATATAATCATGGAATGAATTTTGTATAATCTGGAAACTTATACATTTTTTAATATTAATTTCAAAAACCGAGCATGAGTCAAAAAATTATGTAGAATTTATAAATTATTATACATGCAGTTTCAAATTCATGCAAGCTAGCTAATACGAAGTAATATCATACAATAACAGACTTGTTCAAGTAATTAAAGTTAAAAATAGTTTTGCACAAATTTCTCCAACATTGTCAAGTAGCTATATTACTTCCGAGAGGTCTTGCAGTCTTCCATCTTTGCTCAAGCCTCGATTGGCAAGGGATTGTTGGACGCTTGTTGCATAGTTAGCTCTAAACGTGTCGTCGTGTGTCCATCTTGACATGAACTCCTCGTTCTAAACATGTATGTATATTGTATACGTACACACGAAAAACAAATCAAACAAGACGTACACTTAGGCCCTGTTTGGTTTGATGTAAAATGTTTTCATGGAAAATGAATTTTTCATTTTTTTCCCATTTTCCTTTGTTTGGTTTGTTAAGGAGTGGAAAATTTCATCCTTAATGATGGAAAACATTTTCCTTCTAAAAACAAGGGAAGCCATATTTTCCTCTCTCCTCCTTACCTCTTTTTTTACTTCCCTCTCATTCATCCTTACATTTTCACTCTTATTTTTTATTTTTCTTGGACTTTTCTTGTATGCAACCAAACAAAGGAAAACTAATTTGCAATTGTGTTTTTCCTTGAAAATATGTTTTCCATGAAAACTAATTTTCCATTGAAAATGTTTTACATTAAACCAAACGGGGCCTTAATAAGAATGGCAGCTTAATCAAAAGACCAAAGAATGAAGATTAGTTGTGTAACTAACGTTTTTGCAAGATAATTCTTCAAGTGATACCAGATCTTTCTTTGTTACAAGCTCCTTGACCTTTTCTTGTAGTTTGCAAAACTTATCGTTAAGAGCAATCTGTCATAATGAACAAGAAAAAGTGTTATTATAATATTATCTATAAATAAAGGGATTTTCTAACGTGTGCCCATGACCACATGATTTAACTATATAGTTATATACTACTCGTAACAAGTATGATCGAAAGTAGAATGTAGCATATGTAGTTTAATATTACCTCCTCTTTCATTTGAATTTGAAGTTTCAAAATGGTCGTAGTAGCCTTTTCTTCCTCTTGCTTCACAATGTCGTACCTATTTTCAAGAGGTGTAAGTTGCTTCTGTATTTTAAAAATTTGTCGTTCAACTTCTGCCTGTTTTTGTTCATTCCTCCCGTAGTTTGGATCTACTTCTTCCCTGATTCTTTTCACACATTTCTATATTGTTGAGACAAAGAGAAAGCTCAATACAATTAGTAAGATAGACCTGCCTATCTTCCACTAAACGTGTATACTATCTTAAAGAAAAAGGAATTACTTGGCCATATGAAGTAAAAGGGTTCGACGTCATTGTAGTTTTTTGCTTTTCAAAATCATATAATATATGTCATACAATAAATTAAAAATTACTCAAATGCATTAAACTCATAATAATTTTTGAAAACTGACAATAGAAAAGTGCAAACATTTTTTTCTTGTTTCTTGTTTTTGGTTTTTTATTATTAAACAAGCCTTTTTTCAATTACAGTGTGTTGCAGGAGAGAGTATAAAATCTTACTCGAATCTCGCGTTTCAAATCGTACTTAGAACGAGCATAACCATAACCATAAATATAGGGCCAATGTTCATCATGACTAGTTGCTTTCGGGATTTTAGCATTGGCTTGTTTAACTTCGGGCTCGAGCAATTCCCTTCTTCTTTCAAGAGGTTCAAGCTCTTTGAGGATTTGTTTCTCGATCGCCCAATTAGTCTTCCCATGACCTACTTGCACTCTCAATTTCTCAATTCTTTCCATGATTTCAGCCAATTCTATGTCCGGGTTCGATTCCTCTTCGAGGTCTTCATTCTGTACTCGTGTATATAACCATTATTGTGATTACTATGGTAGAAAGCTATAAGCAAAAGAAGAGCATGTATGTCGCAGAATATAATCAAGACTAAGGGCCTGTTCACTTTAGCTTAATTTCAGTTCAGCTCCAATCAGTTTAGTTCAGTTCGATTCAACTCCTATCAGTTTAGTTCCGTTCCTAATTTTCTTCTCTCATAAAATATTCATTTCAGCTTAGTTTAGTTTAGCTCAGTAAATGTGAACAAACCCTAAGCCAATCATTAATTGTCTCTCCAATAAAGTTGTATTTTTAAACAATATAAACGAGATATATTTTTACTTAATTCAATATCTTATATAATTGATAAAATCGAATCTCCTTTATTTATAGATATCTATGACTTTTAATTAATAAATTAATTAGACTATTAAAAAAATGTCATTTGGTAAGATGTTAATTGCCTTATATGGCTCTCTTTATGACGCCAAAAAAAGAAAAATCCGAGCTAAATAGTAACTAGTAAAGCTTACAATTGCCTCAGGCCAATGCTTCAACAGTAATGTTCGGTATTTCTTGATATCACGCTCGGAATAATGGCGATACCATTTATTTCTTCCATTGAATTTATTGTTTGGATCCAATAAACTTATTTTTTCCTGAAAAAAAAAAATACTCGTATAAGTTAATTTTGTCAAAAAAAAAACAACTATCCAAATTAGTGAAATTACCATTTCTCATGATTTTTCGTTACCTCTGTTTTAAATAAGGCATAATACTTCGTGAATTTCTATAGACCACAAAAATAAAGACGAGAATATATAAAAAGAATCTAAGAACTAGAAAGTACCTTTAAGGGTCGTATTCTATTAAACAAACGTGTTTTCTCCTTTCGAAGTTGTTTCCTCAAGTCCTTGGCTATATTTAGGTCGACTTCCAAATCAGAATTTAGGTAATACTTCTCTATTTTGGCAAAATAAAATTGATAAACTGAATTATTTGGTTGTTGATCATCATCAATATCACCTAATTTTGCATTTTCTGGCATTTCTGTCAATAGAAACGATATAATAATAATAAAAATCATGATACAATCAAATATAAAACCATTTAATTATACATCTATCAATATTGTTATTATATAATAGCGAGAAATCATAATCGTAGTTAGTTAAGGAATAATACCTTCAAACGCCATTGATTACTTGGATTTCCTAAGTAACCTGTTAATCTGTTATTATGCCCTAGCCTTCCAAATTGATTAATGGGTATTTGTAATATATGTCACCGAATTTGGAAGACGGTTTTTTGGGAAAAGGGAAAAGAAAAGAAAGAGAGAAAGAAAAAACCCTAAAACCAATATACAATATTTGACACTTGACATACCCTAATAAATTTATCCTTTTTTAAAAAAAAAAAAAAAAAAAAAAAAAAAAAAAAAAAAAAAAAACTGCCTTGTTTGGTTTATATGAAAATGTTTCCTGTTACGGCCTTACGGGTAAAATACATTTATAAATGCTTGATAATTTTATATGTTTGTCTTTGGGGTATATCCGTCTTTTTTGGAAATAGTTTGGGGGTAGATCGAGGTTAATTAATTTTACGGTTTTACCACATGCCTAATAAGTTATCAAAGTTCTTTTCAAAAAAAAAAAAAAGTTATCAAAGTTTACGAATTAAATGTTAGACTTGCCGAGGAGACTTCAACGAGAATTTGACACTCACACTTTGATTGAGACATCGAAGCTCACGAACTACTTCAATGGAGGAACGGAATCTCACGAGCATCTTCACTGAAGGAGGACGACCAGGGCCGTCTCCGGCAATTCGATGGCCTTGTTCAAACTAAAATATTGGGCCCTTAAATATTTAAAGAACTATTTTTAAAACGTTAAAAATGTTATTATTTAATGACTTTATTTAGTATTAATAATACAAATTAAATAGGAAAATATTCATATTACTAAATTTAATAATAATTCAATTAAAAAAACAAATAAAAACTTTTTATTTAAAAAATGTCATCCTCCTAACATTCTTTGAAGCAAAATCCTTAGTTATATCTTCATCATTTTAATTTTGATTTGGAAATTAAAAAGCAAAATCAAAGATTTAGAATGAAATTTTGGGTTTTAGTTTGAAAAATGTTGGTATTTTACGAGAAAGAAGGTGAATAGGTAATTTATGATATTTTTTAAATGAGTCAGCATTTTTTTAAATTATGGGGCCTCATTTTTGGGGGCCCTGTTCTGTGTGTGAGAAAAAACATGTTCAAAGACGGCCCTGAGGACGACAAATCCTATCCTTTGAGTTAACCATGCACTATGTTTCTCCATTTTTCTTAGGGTTTTTGTTTAATTATTTAACAACGAAATTGCCTGAAATGGTTTTGGAGATAGTCTCCATTGAAGTGGCTTGAAACTGTCTATCCTCCATTGAAGTTTCTCGTAAGAACTTGTTTTTGACGCAATCAATAAATGGATCTCTGTTCAATCCCTTTCCGATTGCATCCCACTTGCATGTTATGCTTTTTTTTTTTTTTTTTTTTTTTTTTATTCGTACACTTTCTCTTATTTACAAGAATGTCACAAGATAAACCAAACATGTTTATCTAGCAGGTTAACCTTGGACCCTTCTTCTTACCAACATTTATTAAAATTGGGACCCACTTTAAAATAATTTTCCTCTTTTTATTGACTAGTAGTAGATAGATGAATTTTAGGTTACTACCTATTCTATAAAATTTGTTTTAAAGTGAATAATTTTACATTGATATTTTGGTAATTGAAATTCATTTTTGTTGATGGTTAAATTAATTGATTGATATTGGTCAACAATTAATTAATTATTGATTAAATCTTTCCAAGGTAGAGAGAGTGAGGGATAATCAAGTGGTTAGAACTTCTCTTCCGATTCCAGGAGATCCTGATATCAATTCTCACCCCGCCCTTGTGGCTCTCTAAACACCAAAAAAAATCTTTGCAAGATTTTTTATTTTTTTTTCATTGTTTAGTATATATATAAAAGTAATACAAGGTAAAATCCAAATAATGACTTACAAGCATTGTTATTAAAATCCCGATTTAAATCTTAGAATCTTACGATTTTACGATTCATGTAGATCATACGATTCGATTTACGATTCTACCCGATTTTACATATTTTTCTGAACTAGCGAAATCCTTACAAGTAAAAAACATGTTTATATAGGTTTTTATAAATAAATATTATCAAGTATTGATTCCTTAATGGTTAAATAACTATTATCTATCGATAATTAGGTTTCAAACTCATAATTTCAATATATTTAGTTAAATTTATATTTGACGTCTTGATTATGCATGTCGGTAGAATCTTACGATTCTACGATTCGATTTTACGATTCGATTCTGATAGCCCCTTCCGATTCAAAGTAGAATCCCGATTTTAATAACTTTGCTTACAAGTGACTCAACCAAATGAAAATCATTGTCAAAGAGAGACATTTTACATGTGTAAATTCGTTGTAAATATGTTCCCGCAAACTATACATGTGTCCAAATTCGTTTGTACAAATGTCTTGGCAACTTTGGAAGTGGAACAAGTTGCAAAGGAGATGCCATATAAGTGACAATTCCCGGAGCCTCAGACATATTGATCATTTCAAGTTGATTTCCAATAGGAATATCCCAATCGAAGTGGTGCAAAAGATGTCCCAACATTAACGTAACCAAATTTAACCCTAATTGTGCTCCCGGGCAAACCCGACGACCCGCCCCAAACGGTAACATCCGAAAATCATGACCCTTTATGTCAATGTCGTTTTCAAAGAACCGTTCTGGCCAAAATTCAAGTGGGTTGGGCCAAATAGATGGGTCGCGACCCAAGGCCCAAACATTCACAAAAACGATTGTACCCTTAGGGACGTCGTAGCCACTGACCTTGACATGGGTCTGGGCGCGATGAGGTAGCAATAGTGGGGTCGGTGGGTGCAACCTTAGGGCCTCCTTGACAATGGCTTGTAAGTAAGGAAGCCTTGGAAAATCTTCTTCAGTCATAATTCTTTCTTGTCCAATTACATTGTTTAATTCATATTGGGCCTTTTGTAAGACCCTTGGATTCCTTACTAGTTCAGCCATGGCCCATTCCACTACTATAGCTACTGTATCTTTACCAGCAATTATCATGTCCTACAAACAACAAATTAAACATGTATCAATTATTATTTTCTAATTACCTAATTAATTGGGTAGAATAAAAGTAGTCCTATAACCTAATACGAAGTACAACACGTTGTGTAAACTAAAAAAAATGCTATTTACTCCGTAAGTAAAATAACATTTAGGGACGAAAAGAGTATAAACTACAGAACTTACCCTAAGTAAAATAACATTTAGGGACGAAAAGAGTACAAACTACAGAACTTACCCAAAGGAGTCCAATGATAGTCTCTTCATTAAGATCATACTCGTCCTTACAAGAGATCAAAGCATCTACAAAATGAAGCTTGTTATCGTTCTCCATGAACCGTTTCATAAAGTTTCCAAAGCGATCTCCATGCTTGTTCAAGACTTGATCTTCAAACATATGTTGCAACCATTGGATGCCCAACATTATAATATTTGTCCTCTTAAAATTGTTCAACTCAAGTAAAATGTTCATCAATTCCTTTCCTAATTGCCCTTCAAATTCACCTTTGGAGTTGATAAATCTCTTTCCTAATGTTATCCTTGTTATGTGGTTTAATGCTGCTTGTCCCACGTATTTCCTAAGTGTTAGAACACCTTTCTCATGATTTTCTATTGAAAAAAAAATCAACCAATTATTTCAACAAGGTTTTAATCAGGAATAACAAGGAACTAATTACATACTCAATTATCAATCAATTTAGTTTGTTAAAGTCTTGATCGATGACACTCAAACCATAGAATCAAATCATGTATACGTCATTATCTTTGCAGTTGCAGTTCTCTTTACAACTAAAAAAAAAGAGGTAATTTTAAACAGAAATACGTACCTGAATAGCCTGTGGCACTTTTGTAAATAGATTCGATCATGGCGGTGACTTCGTCATTTCGAATGGGCTTAAAGGCCTCAATTTTCTTACTATTAAGTAATTCAAGTGTACAAACTTTTCTAACCTTGACATAATGAGGCCCATAATCAGCCCAAGTAAGGTCCATCCCATCTCTAGCAAAGTTTAACTTGGATTTGATCCTAATCCTATTAGCCAACTCTTGATCATTCTCTTTCAACACTTCCTTAGCCAACTCTGAGCTTGAAACCACAACAACCAATTTGGACCCGAACCACACCGATATTATCGGGCCGTAAACTTGAGCCCATTCATAGAAACACCGAAAATGGACGGGCTTAATTTTATAAAGGTTTCCTATAATGGGCCATGGTATCGGGCCCGGCGGGAGGTTGAATTTGAGCCGTTGGATGATGATGTTGCATGATAAGAGGATGGTTAAGATGATTGATAAGGTAAAAAATAAAATAGCCATTTTTTTTAAGGTTATTAGAGAAACTAAGCTTGCATAATATAGGGGATAAAATGCAATAACGTACTTAGTAGTAGTTGTTAGTCATGAGTTTTGGCTTGTCAAAACTCAAAAGTATTAAAATTAGAGAAGTATTCGTTTCTAGGAAGTTGCAAGAAGCCAAGAATGCAAGATTTGTGACCATAGAATTCGCTCTTGTATTCAATGCACTTGAATATACACAAATTTCTTTGATTGTTTTTTTTTTTTTTTTTTTTTTTTTTGGGTGTTTATAGAGCCACAAGGGTGAGGGTGAGAATCGATCTCAAGATCTCATGAAATCGGGAGGTAATCACTTGAGCTATCGCTCACTTTCTAAACTTTTCTTTCATTGTTATCATGTGTTTGGTATTTAAATGCACCTGTGCTAACAGGGAGGTTAGTGGGGAATTGGGGATACATAGTTACTAGAGAGGTACTTTGATTGATTGATTAATTTTTTTCTTAAGATTCTATGAATTTGAGTTAGCTTTTGTATCTTAGAAATGTCAAACATTAGCCTAAGTTAGCTAGCTAAAATGCTAAATATATCAATTATACTATTTTTGTTTTCTGATATGCTAGACTTGTATCTTGCGTTGTAATGAGCGCAATGTAAGCAATTCATTCCATTATCCATTCCAGGCCACTTTGCTTGGTCCTTTCAAAAAATAAAATAAAATGATATCTATCAATTATACAGAGTTAATTCAATTAAAATAATTTGAATTCAGTTAATATGAGTTAATTTAAGTCAGCAAAATTAAGTCAAGTCCGAAAATATAAGTAACCATAGAAATTAACAAATACATACAATAGTGAAACAATCAAATACTTCTAAAGAAATTTCAAGTAAGCTTGTACAATATATATTATCATTCATTATGTATATATCGACATACGTAGTATTAGTTAGTAATTATTATACAAAGGTAGATATATGGAAGTATATATTGAAATCAATCTAACAAGCTAAGTTCAAGAGTATACCGTGTGTAAGACAATATATTTGAAAAGGTACAAATTATGATTTTTCATGTGTCGGATTACCAAGTTTCAACGTTTTGATATTCAAGATTTGACTAAGTTTCGAGAATTCTATTGATTGCTCTAAATAGATTGTCTTTGTTCCATTGAGACATGAATTCATCAACCTAATTTTGTTCATAAGAAAATATATTAAAGATTGGATTTTTTGTGAAAAACTACCTTTTAAACTTCAAATTTTGCGAAAAACTACCCTAAAAACAAAATGTTGTAATCAACTACCTTATAAAATATAAAACGTTGTAATTGACTACCTTCTAATGGAATGACATATTTGACTTTTATTTTCCGACGTTGACCATATCACGTGAGGGTCAAGTGCCCCTTTAATGACTTAATTCCTATCTTTTTCCCAAATTTTCCCGCTTTACACCAATTCAGCCCATATAATTATCAAAGGGGTTGCAAATAAACAATATAAAATATGAATAATCGTACTGTTAAGGAAAAGAGTTGGTATAAAGTGGGAAAATTTGGGAGAAAGGGGGGAATTAAGTCATTAAAGGGTCATGTGACCCTCACATGACATGGTTAACACCGAAAAATAAAAATCAAATGTGTTATTCCGGTGGGAGGTAGGCAATTACAACATTTTATACTTTATAAGGTGGTTAATTACAACATTTTATACTTTATAAGGTAGTTAATTACAACATTTTGTTTTTAGGGTAGTTTTTCACAAAATTCAAAGTTTAAAAGGTAGTTTTTCACAAAATATCCTTAAAGATTTTAAGCAAGCAATACTTTAGACATTATTAATTTTTCCAATTGGAAAGGTTGTAAGAAATTGAAAATCTTATAATTCAAAAAGGTAGTAACCTGTTTAGGGCATAATTCTTCAAGTGCTACCAAATCTTTCTTGGTCGCGAGCTCCTTGGCATGAAATAGTAGTTTCGTATTATCATTGTATCGAACAATCTGTTTCGACTTAAAAGTGATTATGTTCTAGTTTAGGATTACCACGTCATTTGTTACAAGTTATGTTGTAGATATATAATTATTGTACGAAAAAATAATGAAGCTAAGAGGGGAAAAAAAAATTACATATTAAACGTACCTGATCATCTAGGTGCTTCTGGGCAATTAAAACGTATTCATTCAGTTTAACTCTCTTTTTGTTGATTTCAACTAGATTTTCTTCCAAAGACATAATCTCCTTTGCTAATTCATTATTTTGTTGTTCCACTTTTCTTTTACTCTCTTGTCCATCTTTTATTTCATTCAAACCCTTCTACAATAGGTACATAGAAATATATAGAATCATCAAATAACATTTTTTTTTCTTCGAAAAAAAATGGTCAAATATATAATCAGGAAATACTTATTAGTCAACTTATTGATACTAATACTACCTCCGTTTCATATTATTTGCAAAGATTTGACATAAAATAGAGAGGAAAAATGTTTGATCGTTGTAAATAATATGAAACGGAAGAAGTATAAGAACATGACAACATGAATGGCAAGTTGCAATAATGTACTTTTTTTTAATTAATGTGTAATTAGACTAATTACTTATATTTAGGGTCAAAGTAGCCTGCACATTAGCAAATATATCAAATTTGACTATTGTATCAGTTATTATAGAACAGGAGAAGTTATAACAAAAGATAAAAGAATTCTTAAGCTTATAATATTAAGGTCTTACCTGAATACATTGCTGTATAAATTTTTTAGAGCACCTTGTTTCAACATGATTACATTGTTGCTCCTTCTTCCTTTGCAATTCTTTAAGCTCTTTAATTATCCTTTTTTCACTTGCTATATTTTTACTACCATGTGTAAATTGGTAGCTCAAATTTTTAATTTTCTTATCAATATTTATAGAGGGTTCCGAATCCGAGTCTGAATCCTAACAAGAGAAAGAAATCAAGAAAAAAAAAGGTTAAATACGGAGTATTCTTAATTCTTACGAGTTACAATGTTTAACTCTATAACAAACTCTACTGCCATAATTGTCCGTTTAAGTGTTCTATATAATTTTTCTAAAACTCGGTGTAAAAGCTAGCGTGTCATTATTTCTTAATTATTATCATAATAAATAATTTATTAGTAGAGAATATATTATATGTTAAATAAATTGCTATATACTTGTACTCGTATAAGGTTTTGCAATTCTTACATGGTCCTCACGTAATCGAGCGTCAAGCTCCCTTTTCCAACTCTCAAGATTACACATTGTATTGTAGTCACTATACCACCTCAACTTGTTACTTTCCTTACGTATACTATCCTGCAATTAAGTAAATAAATATACATTTATGTTTAGTAAATAAAGTTTGTCATCAAAGTGACCAAATAATTACAAGCTAATGTAAATCATGCATATTAAATAATTAGAGAAAAATATGGTTGTAAGGTCGTAGCTCAAATGGTAAGCTACCCCGACCTTTGTTTGATTAAGGCCACATCATATTCTGAATCAAGTCTCAATGTATAGGGAGTCACAAAGGAAAAGAATATGCTATTTCTTTTAAGATTTAATGTATTGACTTATTAGTAATTCAGATAGTCGAGTTAGGCCCTGGCCCATGTGTATCCTCAAAAACAATAAAATGATAGATTAAGTTAAATGATGCATGTATATATGTACCTTCATAGAGCTTATATCATCCAGACATCCAAGATAATTCTTTTTGCCTCGATCATTTTATCGTTTAACTCCTTGGCCTTTTGGATTTCTTCTTTCAATGCTGGAAATTTAACAAAGTAAAATTGATGTATGTTCATTTTTGAGTTGTTGAAAGATTCAGCCACTTGAACATCTTCCATTAGATATGATAAAGAAAACAAAAAAATTGAATAACTTGGCCTGGGTGATTAATGATAATTTAGCTCAACAAAGTTATATATGTACGATCCCCTCAAAAAGAGTTATATATGTACGAAAGAATTGAACAAGTAATTTTGATTTAGATATTTAATAATTGTGATTTAGATATTTAAGTTTAATAATTCAAAGGTTAAATTAGGACTTGCAGTTCACGACAAGAAATAATTAGTCAACGATTAGGAAGCAATTAATTATTTATAATTCAATAAAGCTTAAAAAAGGGGTTTTTTCTATGTGGCCGGCCACACATTACTTGAGTTATTCAGTCAAGGGTTACTTGAGTTATTCTTGACCATCCCTGTAACTTCTGACCGAGTAGCCCCATAAGTAACCCTAGACTGAACCCCTCAAGTAACCCTAGACTGAACCCCTCAAGTAACTAACCCTTGATCGAGTAATTCGAGTAATCCCTGATTGAACAACCTGAGTAACCCCTGACCGATGATGATTGTGTAAATCCTGACCAAACCCCTCAAAGTAACCTCTGACCGAATAATTTGAGTAACCCTGACCGAATAACTTGAGTAATCCCGGACACACAGCATCACCAACAACATATAAAATTTGCCAAATTGCAATTGTTGAAATTTGAGAAAGGATTTTTACTATAATTAAAATTTAAAAGAGGGTATTTGAAAAATGAACACTGACTCAAATATCGTGTTATTAGGTTTGGACTTTAGGTGTCATATATATTACCGTGGATTATATCAATTAAGAAGGCTAGGGCATAAACAAGGTACATACTCAGAAATCTCAACCTATCAAATTAATGGCGTTTGAAATTGAAGGTACTATTCATTATACATGAAATTAATCGGTAGAAATTATATATGTTGTTCTTTAATTTGATTATCATAATTATTGCTACATTATAAATTTGTTGTTACACACAGAAAATAAAACATCAAATGACCAACAACCAATTGCGTTGGTTGAGAGATATTTGGAAGCAAACCTAAACATAGCCAAGGAATTAAGAAAACAACTTCGTGAGGAAAAATCACATTTGCTTCCAAAAATACGATCCTTAAAGGTACATACTCCCTATGTTCCTTTTTGTTCTCAATTTTATGGCCTCAAATGATTAACATGTTTTATACATTGAAAGGATTAGAACGAACATGTTATTTAAGATGCGCCTTTAATTAATATAAAAGGGTTCGATCATATTTGTGATTATTTGTAGGAGAAAATAAGAGTATTAAATCAGAGCAATACCCCTCATGGTCATAGGGGTAGTTGGGTCATTTGGCGCGCCCGAGATATTGAAGAATTCCGAGAATTACTTTGGAAGAATTGGCCCGAAACCATTGTAAGCAATGCTAAAAAAAATACTTCGTATTATTTATTTTTGGTAGAATTAGACTAGAAATATTTAGATCTGATCAAATTATAACTTTTATTTTTCTATGCTATACTAGAGTTTGAATGAAACTTATGAAAATTACATACTTGAATATTACACAATGAGAATATGAGATGGAGATTTAGAAGTTTTCTACTCAGCTCCTTACCAACAAAATATACATTTGATGTATTCACATCTGACTAACTACTAATATAAGAGTCCTTGATATCTCAATTGGTTAAAGATTATCTCCTGAATCGATTGTCATCACCCGCCCTTACGATGATTAGTGGGAATTAAAAGAGAATGATAATTTTAAATAATGGAAAATTGTTTAATATGAATGAAAAGGGGAAAAAGATGATAAAATGTTGGCACATAGATTCACTAAAATAGTATACTAGTAGAAGAAACTTGATTACATGTTTCAAAAAAAAAAAAAAGTTTTTTTTTTAACCTTTATTAATCGTAAAATAGGAAGAACAAAAAGGGTTGGAAGGAGTAATTCCGAATAGATTTAAAGTATTTATTTCAAACATATTTTTACAAATATTAGCTATTACGGAGTATATCTCAACTTTTTCCTAAATTTCCTTTGTCTTTAATTTGTCTTTCTACCATATACTTCGGACTTTGTATATATATGGAGTAGTATGTAGTTAATACCATTAATGTTGTTTGTATGGTTGTTTGATTTGCTTGTATCGCCGAGTGTAGAATGAGGACCTTGACGAGGAATCGAACCCGGACATAGAGTTGCTTGAAATCTTGGATAGAATTGAGAAATTAACTGAGCAATTAGGTCATGGCAAGACCAATTGGGCATCGGAAAAACAAGTCCTCAAAGAGCTTGATCATCTCCATAGAAGGAGAGAGTTACTTGAGCCCGAAGTTAAACAAGCAAATGCTAAAAATCCGAAACCACCAAAAGGATACGGGTATTGGTGCTATGGATCTAAGTATGATTTGAAACGCAAAATTCGTGTAAGATTAAAATAAACTCTAACCAATTTTTGAAGTTATAATAATCATCAGCTTAATCTTTTGATTGTTTTGATAATTTGATAATTAGTTTAAGTAACTAAGAATGTTACCTTTTTTTTTTCTTTCACTAATTATATTGTGCCTATTGTTGTGTCAACATAGGAATCTTTGAAGGAAATCAGAAAACAATATCCATATTTTTGGAATGAACAAAAACAAAAAGAACACAAGCAAGAAATGCTTCAAATAGAGAAGCAACTTACACCACTCGAAAAGAGATTCAAGGTTGTGAAGAAAAAGGAAGAAATGACCACTGCGTTTATTTTAAAACTTCAAACCCAAATAAAGGAGGTATTAATGCTAACTTATACTTCATCTGTCTCTATTTGTTCTTGTATTTTAACTTTTTTTTATATTCAAAGCTAAATAAATTTAGGTTTTTTCCTAGTGATGTGAGTAATTTCACAGATTGATCGAAATAATGAATATAGCAAATTACAAGACAAAGTCCAAGAGTTTGCAAATAATAAAGATTGGAAATCACTTGAAGAATTGCCTAGCAAAAGTGTAAGTTAGTTGATAATAAGCAAGCTAGTACTCTTCTTAGGCTCTAAGTACTTTCTCCGTTCTTATTAAACACGTTTTGATTTGTTTTTCGTGTGTATATGTTTAGATTGAGGAGTTTATATCTAAATGGAGACGCGATGACACATTCATAGCTAACTATACACGAAGCATCCAACAATCCCTTGGCTTGCCAATCGAGGCTTGAGTAGATGGGAGACTGCTACAAGTCCCTCAGAAATGATTGCTTGATAAATTTGGGAGAAAAGGGTGTGATTCTAGTTCAAATCTATGGTATGTAATGTTCATTTCTTGTACAAGTTTATTTATTGTGTGACATACTAATTCTATAAATCTCATATATTAGACATGTTTGATTGTTGAACTTATTTGTAATCTGGTTAGATATATCATGTATATATATACGTCTTAATGTGTACATTAAAAATATCAATTTTTATAATATTAATTATTGAAATTATAGTAATTGAAATTATGCATTAACAAACGTGAAAATTACATTGTTGCAAATAAAAACAAATGGAAGAGTCAAAGAAATACATAAAATCAAGAATAACTTTTACTACTAAGTTAGCTTCTAAATGATCATCATGTTTCGTTGTTTCGATCTCCATGACTAAGCTTCAGACCTTCAAGTGATAGCATCATACTTCTTTCACAATTTGCTCCAAACAGATTGTTTCTATAGTTCCATTGAGACATGAATTCATCGAACTAATCTTGTTCATGAAGAAAACACAAAACATATAGTGATATATTATTTGTGAGACATAAATATTCCTTTGTTGCGAGCAAATTGGACTAGAGGTAGTAGGAAATATTGTAATAAAATTAGGATTACCAATATTTAGTGACCATATTATGTATCATATGGTCATACCTGATCATTAAGCTGCTTCTCGGCTGTTAAAATGAATTCGTTCACCTTTGCTCTCTTTTGGTTAATTTTAGCCAGTTTTTCTTCCAAAGACGTAATTTCCTTTGTTATCGCAACCTTATTTCGTTTCACTATTCTTTCTTTCTCTTGTCGATTTTTCACTTCATTCAAACCCTCCTATAATAGACATATAAAATCACCAAATGTATAATAAAAAATGGCACGGAGTATTTTCTAGTGTCGAGGAGAAATTAAATACTTGATAAAAAAAAACGGAGAGAGTATGAAGTAACTTATTAAAACTCGTAGCTAAACAAGTAAAGAAATTGTACTCGTAGAGGATGGTGTAATTATCCATGTATTGAAGAAAACAGAATTCCAACACAAGAACCACTATCTCCGTTACAGGTTATGTGCAACGATTAGACATTTTCCCTCTATGCTTTATGTCAAATCGTTGCACATAATCTGTAACGGAGGTTATGCGCCAACAACTTGTAACTATGTACTCATAATAACAAAAAGGAAAAACATTATAAAAAGAATTTGGAAGTTTATTATAATCTTACCTGAATAAGGTGTTGTAGTTGTATTACTTGTTCATTATTACTTGTTGATTTGTCAAATTTATATAATTTCTCCTTTCTTGTTTGTAATTCTGTAAACTCTTTAAGTATCCTTCTTTCATTGGATATATTTTTACTCCCATGAGTAAATTTATAGCATAACTTTTGAATCTTATTATCAATGTTTATAGACTCGAGTTCTGGTTCCAATTCCGGATCCCAATCCTATCAATAAAACATAGAAGGTTATAGTGAGCAAGTATGTGTAACAATATACAAGTATATATGCCTTCAATTCATTTTTTTTAATTACTTTTAAAAAAAAATCAATTCTTACGTTACATTCGGGGAAATGAATCTGAATTTCCCTTTTCCATTGCTCAATGTCTCTCCTTATACCGTGCACACTAGTCCACCTCAACTCCTTACTTTCTTCGAGTATTCTATCCTGCAAGCAAAATTACATATTAGCAACTAATAATAATAACAATAAATTCTTTCAAAAATAAGAATAACAATATAATACCTCCGTTACAGCCTTACAGGTTATGTGCAACGATTAGACTTTTTCCTCTA